CACACACACACACACACACACACACACACACACACACACACACACACACACACTGTACAGAAGGAAATGTAACATGCAGCCTGTGTTCCCGGAGCTTTTCTCTTTCTCCTTCAGGAAGTGGTCAGTTACTCCCACAACATTCATGTCAGCCATCTCTCCTCCATCCCTTCCTGCTCCTCTTCCTCTCCCTCATCCCCAGCCCCTGGCAGCCTCTCTTCTCTCTGCCTAAGTTGAAGCATTTTTTAGATTCCTGTTCTAAGGGAGGCTGTACGGCATTTGCCTTTCTGTTCCTGGCTTGCCTCCTCAGGACAACACGCTCGTGTTTTGTCTTTATCACAGGTGACAGGATTTCCTTCTGTTTGGGGCAAAGCAGCGCTCCGCTGTGTGCGAACCGTATTTTCTATATCGCAGGCCCTGGCTGTGGAGAACAGCGTTAAACATGGCGATGGAGACAGCTTTACAGAGTGTGGATTCCGTGTCCTTTGGCTACCTACCCAGAAGTGAAACGCCGAGCCGATGGCAGCTCTCATTTTAATTGGAGGGAGGACCTCTACACCGCTTTCCTGTAGACAGTCACTCATTTGTTTATTTTTAAGATAAGTTCTCATATATCCCAGGCGAGCCTCCAGCTCATTGCATCCACGGTCTTCTGATCCTCCTTCCTCCACCTTCACTGGGCCGGGATTAGAGACAGCCACCGTCGAGGAAGTCTACCCAGTGCTCACCACTGAACCCAGGACTTCACACACGCTGGCTGACAATTCTACCAACCGAGCCTCGTCTTCAGCTATCTTAACACCCCCTTCCCTTTGCTCCACATCCTCTCTAGCGCCATCATCACCCCACATTTTTTGTAGATTTGCTTATTTGATGTGTGTGTTTTGCCTGCATATATATGTCTGTATGCCAGGTGCATGCCTGGTGACCTTGGGGGTCAGAAGATGGAGTCAGGTCCTCTGGAACTGAAGTTATAGATGTTTGCAAGCCGCCATGTGTGCTGGGAACCAAACCCGGGTCTTCTGCAAGAGCAGCCAGTGCTCTTAGCCACTGAGCCATCTCTCCAGCCGCCACCATGTTTTAAAATATCTTCATCCTTAGAAGTGACTCGTTTCGGCATTAACATCTCTTCCCTGTGGCTGGTGGCACCGAGCACCTCCACATGTTGGCTGTTTGCATGTCTTCTGAGAACTGTCTCCTGGGGTCCTCATCCATTGTACAATTCCATCTTTTCTCTTTTCTCTTCTGGGCTGTTTGACTTTTTTTTTTCTGGTTTAGGTGTTAATCCCTCACCAGATGCATAGATCTATCTCTCTCTCTCTCTCTCTCTCTCTCTCTCTCTCTCTCACACACACACACACACACACACACTTTCTCCCACTCACCTCTTTATCCTGTTTACTGTTTCCTTAGCTGTCCAGAGCTTTTGAGTTTGCTATCCTCCTGTTTGCCTGTTTTTGTTTTTGTCTGTGTTATGGGGGCTCATAGACAAGATCAATGACAAATGAAACATCCACTTATCTTTTCTTCTAGTACATACAATTCAGTCCTCCCTCCCAGATGCTCAGGTCAAAGGCTCAGGTTGTAAACCTGCCCTGTGGGAAATCCCGTACCTGGAATTCCCAGCTCGCCTCCTGACTGGAGTGAAGGCCGAAGCTCCCTAGGCCCCACCTCCCATGGCTCAGGCCACAACAGAGCACCAGTCACAAGCCGTGTGTCCTGTAGGTACTCTTCGGGGAGGGTGTATTTCCCATTGACCTTGCCCGGGGCTGTGTTTTCACCACGCAGGGGAGATGGATGACGGTCATACTGGGCCTTGCCTTTGGAACCATCATTTTAGTCTTTACTCCATTTTGAGCTGATTTGTGCATACGTGTGTGTGTGTGTGTGTGTGTGTGTGTGTGTATGTGTGTGTATGATGTGGTGGTGGTGAGAGTCTAGTTTCATTCTTCTACATGTGGATATCCAGTTTTCCCAGTACCATTTATTGAAGAATCTATCATTTCTCTGTTGTGTGATTTGGGTACTTTTGTTAAAGCTGTGAATTTATTTCCTGGCTCCCTGGTCTGTTCCACTGGCTTCTTTTAAAAAATAATATTTTATTTAATGTTCATACATGC